AAGTACGACAGTAACACCAAACGAGAAATGTAACGAGGAAACAGCGAAAACAATACCCACAACAGAGCCAAGCACAGAGCCGACCACTGAGCTGGCCCCGAGTTCGGCAGAAACTGAATTCATTCCTTTGCCAACGAGAAGTATCAGGAGGAAACAAGCTAAAAAGATCAAAGAAAAGAAAGGGAAACAAAGCAAACCGAGGGAGTCAAGGGACAGTCCTTTAGAGATGAACAAAGAAGAAACAAACAGAGAACCATTACCAGATGTGGGATTCCCTCGCAAAAGGCAAGGCCCGAGACGAAGGACCAAGAAGGTCATTAGAAGGACCCCTGCTAAAGTTATCAAAACCAGTGAAACGTTGGCAACAACAACGGAGATAATTCAGGAAATGTCGGCAGATCTGGTAAGAAGGAAGATCCAGTTGTATCAGCAGAGGAAATTGGCAGAAGCGAGGCAGTTGCCTGCACTCAAGAAAAGGCGAAGAGTGCGCATTGAGGGCCGACATCTGCTCGGTGATGGGGATGAGAACGTTGCTGTTGCCTCAAACGCAGATCAGTCTCATCAAAAAGAGATGAAGGTAAAAGAAGGAGAGGTCCCGCAAACTGAAATTGACGAGATCAAAAAGGAGAGAAGAGATGAAAAGAAACCACTGAAAAAGGGGGTTTCTCATAGGAAAAACTCCGTTTCTAAGGCAAGCCATAACTAGTCGAGTTTGGTCTGAAACCAATTAATTTGCTTTTTCTAGGCGACAAATTCAAGCCCACCTCCAACAACTACAATAGTATCAACCCCAGCTGTGGGGGCCACAATGCCAGGTTGAAAAGAACATAAACTTATGCAATAATATCTGCTCACTCCATGAATTTCTTATGTTACGACCATTTTCAGGTCTTTCGGCTGAGGCACTGAAAGTAGCTCTAGCAAAGGAGATAAGAAAATTCGTATCAAAGGAGTTGAGACATAAGGTCCTGAAAATAATGTCAAGGGACATTTTTTCTTGTTCAGACTATCACCTCGTCGCGAAATGAAATAATCTTTGGTTATAATTTTTACAGCTCTTGCGCATGCATGGCACTCGGCTTCTTGAGGAAAACGACGAGGTGGA